TAAATAGATGCTCATGATGTCAGTCACTGGATTATCTGGTCCAGACACGATTTTGTCTTTCGTATAGCTGGCATGTTTCTGAGTGTGGCGTTAAACAACAAACAACAGTTACGAAGTCATGGAATATGACAGAATGGGGTGCTCCCTAATTTCTTGAGTAGTATATATCGACTCTGGCAAACTATATGTTTGTTTGTGTTTGTTGTTCAACCCCGCTCTCAGCAACATTTCAGTTATATGACCAGATAATCTAGTTACTTAAAGTAGATGTAATCATGAAAAGGAAGATAGATAACAAAGCAAGCTGTCTCCTCAACCGTTCCTATATATCATAAATATGCCTTGCTGTCAATCTCATTACATAATTTGCACATTAAGAAACTAATGCCCACGGCAACTGTGAGGTATTGTCACAGTAGTAGTGTATTCAGTTACATCATCCATGCTGTTTCTGAAGATCTGTATCGCTGTAGACAATGAAGTGAGCCCTTATCACAAAAAAATTGAAATGACACCCTGAGGCATGAACGTCCCCCGCGGCAGCAACATCATTTTATCATCATTATTATTGTCATCATCACGGTCGTTGTTGTCGTCATCATCGCCGCCGTCGTCATCATCATTATTATTGTCATCATCATCATCATCGCCGCCGCCGCCATCATCATTATTATTATTGTCATCGTCGTCGTCGTCGTCGTCGTCGTCGTCATCATCATCGTCACTCATCCAGGCGAGAATACTTTTACTTGGTTTCAGATCCACCGACACGTTTATCGGTTTGTCTTCAAATCGAAAGTATAACACATTGGTCCTCTCCACGAGCCTGTTAGAGAAATTTCTGTTATAAATAAGATCGCCATGGAAAGATCGATATAGGTTTGACTTGACATCCAAAGCAACACACCCGGATGTTGCATTCCACATTTTTCATATCTATGTTTATAAATATCCAACCACATATGTAAGGCCACAATGAATATTACATAAAGCTATTTAGTTTCATAGCCCAAAAATTATAGATATCACAAGTAACTAATCTATTTTTGCATTTTTCACGTTTACCGACAGTTCTTTTCCCATAACATATATACACATAATGGCTTATATCCCTTGTAATATGACGTCATTGTGTCAGTTCATAAACGAATGACGTCACTGCGTCTCATTTTCTTAGGTAGTGTAGGTACAGGTGTGTGGTTCTTGCGCCTCGATGTGCAACCTCCTATTTTAACTCGTGTACACATTTCTTCTTCCTCTTTCACCCTCACTTTGATGTCGAATATAATTCAAAAATGCATCACGCGCACAAATTCACTTCGCACATGTCATCCGCTGTCATTGTAGGAAATGCAGAATTAGGTCCATCGTAAATAACGCCATTTTCTACATTTGAACTGAATCACCGTTTACAGCGAAATGTTTACTTGGGAACGTGAATTTAAAAACTGTATACGGATTTTTTTGGGGGGGGTTGTTGTTTACTGTTTTATCCAATCACAAATGAATATTCTTCACAAAAATATTCTTAAACGTCGTCGATATCCCTCGGAACGCTTAGCGTGTCTTCTCGGTCTTGTCCGTTTTGATGATGCATTAATTATTGCGTAGTTCCAATAGACAGGGTGTTTGTATTAAAGTGATGTTTGTAGGAATGAAAGTCTCATAGTAAATTCAGTAAAGCCTGTATAGTATTCAGTATAGGACTTTCTTGAAAATATTGATATTTCGACAGAAATCAAGTATCAAAACATCTTAGTTTACCGTTGATATTGAATTCAGCGGTTGATATTCCTAACGGCTGTTGGATATTGAAATAATATACATTTCGTATATCTTGTAAATATGATAGATTTGTTTCAGAAATCGCACACTAGCTGTGTCACTGATGTCGCACTGGCGCGTAGTAGTATCAATATATAGATATACATGTATTGAATCACAACTTTTTGAAATTTGTTATAAAGGATCAAACAAAGCATGCATTCACACACAAACAAGACATATGTGCTTTCATTGTATTCTAACAAGTAACAAACAACTGCCCAAGCGTGAGTGAATGAGTATGTTTTACGCCGCTTTTAGCACTATTCCAACTAGTGTTGGGAATTGGTATCAATCTCATAATTGATGATTGGTTCATTACAAGCCATCAATCATCGAAAATAATTCGTTAGCGTCATTTATCAAATTTTCCTGGTTATGTCTGTTAATGCACAAAAGGTAAAGAAAAAAACATGTAGTTCTTTCGTTTTCTTTGCAAAATGCACAAAATGCATTTGCAAATTTCACATCTTTAAAGGATGACTAGCATGTTAGGAACATGAATTTCATGGAGTCTTTAAAATAAATTCAATCATGAATTGGAAGAGCTTGTAGTGCTAATGAAATCTAACAGACAAAATCAACCTTGTGAAAAATATTGTTATTGCAAACAAGTGTTCCAAAATTGATTGTGTTCGATTATGAGAAAACATGATCGATTGCTTGGTCGTTTTGTCATTGCGACCAATCTTCGATTATTTCAATTAATCGTACCACCACTAATTCCAACAATATCACAGCGAGGGACAACTGAAATGGACTTCACTTATTGTATCCATGTGGGGAATCGAACCCGGGTCTTTGGCATGACGAGTGAACGCTTTAATTACTAGGCTGCCCACCGCCCCAGTTCGCACTAGAAACTAAACCATAGACAATATGGTGTGATCAAAGTATCAGTATGTGAGTTGAGTCTAATGCCGAGTCTAATAACATTCCAGTTATATCACGACGTCTCAGATTTATATGGGAGGTAAGTCGGAAGGATGCAGGTCTCAGGTATCTTCCACGATCCCAGGGATAGTGCTGACAAACTTGGAAACAAAACCGGGACGAACTGGGATTCGAACTCACAATTATAGATTTCTGTCGTACCCAAGAAAGCGACTCTGCACAGCGAACTGCGACGGCCCTGATGAACCGTGCACCTCATCAGCAAGCAGAAGAGGGTGTTACCCACAGTCAGGAATATTCCACCAGGGGTTGATAACATGAACACCTAACCACTCAGGGTCAGTGACACACAGTCAGTAATGACACCGATCGTGTTATGGGATATGCATCGGGTAGTGGGGACCTATTACCCATGGGTTATACATCATCAAGAGCCGGGCTCTAACTGAGTGTATGCGTAACTTTGGGTGATGAGTATAGTACATCCGTTGACATATGTATACGTTTTCTGAGGGTGATGAGGACGCCTAGTTGTCAAAGCGCTTGTTTGTCACAGGCGGGTTCGATTTCCCATGTGTGGCCTCTCCTGTTGTTGCAAGTGCAAATTAAAGTGCGGCCGAAAACTGTACTCTCTTACTTGCTAAAGATTTGTGTGTCACCCAATAACCTTCCCCATGACACGTGACGTCGGCGGCTGGAACCAGCTGATACTGGGACACCGTCTTGTGACGTAGGTGTGTGAATCCCCGCTACATGCGCGTATGTACTGCTAAGTATTTGTTTTAAGCCCTAGCACATGGAGGCAGGGAACAGATATATGGCCACTTAGATCACGTTCGGGGGCAATGGCCGATTTCTGTAGCTAGACCTGCGATGGACACGGGGAAATACGGTTGATTATTAATCTTAACCTCTCGGATTTATTTACAGTCTCTTCCTTCTCAATTTGTTATGTTTTATTGAGACATGCCCACACTTCAATCTATGCTGAATATAAAGATCACCAGGTATGAAAGTCTTAACTTTGACACAGGTGTCTGATAACAAAAATGATTAAAGCCATCATAACACTAGTACATATAGTAGTAGTAGTAGTAGTAGTAGTAGTACTAGTAGCAGTAGTAGTACTAGTAGTAGTAGTAGCAGTAGTAGAGGCAGTAGCAGTAGCAGATGCAGTAGTAGTAGTAGAGGCAGCAGCAGCAGTAGTAGTAGTAGAAGTAGAAGTAGTCAGTACTATTGGTAATGTTTTCACTTACAAGCGTTTACACTTTTAAATCGCATTACATAATATGTCCCAGTGTACATTCAGTTTGCATTCTCAACTCCACGGGGAGTGTCCAGCGGCCCAGCTTAATGTTGATGACCATTGTTTGTTGTCAATAGTGACCTAATGAGGCTAACATTCCACACACATTGTTCGTGGGTTTCAGTGGTACCTGTGTCATCCGTGGTATTCTTGTTATGACAGTCATGTGACGACATCGATTTAGCCCAATCGCTGGGTGGTAGGCACCTGTTGGAGTCCATTGATTCTGGCATAACTAGAATACAGGTGTGTAAAGCGTGGCATGTTTGGCTTATTTGTTCATATCAAGCTACCGTTGTAAAAATGTCTGTTGGATGGTCCCGTGCTTCATGGGTTTAAAATATACATTGGTTTATAGGCGACTTAAAAGAGAATCGGGAGGCTAAGCTTTGTGGATTGTGTGGGTACGTAACCCATCGGTACCCATGCTGTCAACCCCCGTTTCATCCCAGACTCGATCGCTTGATGTTGTGATGTGGATGTTGCCGTACCAGATCATACCATCAGGGATTAATATATCGTGGGAGATACAGTGCTTACCGTTCCTGTCGGTATATATGTGGGAATGGAGAGGTATTTTTCGGTTGGTAATATAATAATATTCCAGCTTTAACAGAATTCCAGAACGTTATGACATATTCCAGAACAGCCCCGTGGGTGACGGAGTGAACATAGAGCCAGTCTGATATAAATCAGTGATATTGTTATCCTGAAATTCCGGGTTAGAATTGGTCTCCAGCTAACCATGCTTGCCGTAAGCATGGGGCGGCTAATGGGATCGAGTGGTCAAGTTCGACTGACTTGGTTGATGCATGTCATCGTATCTCAGTTACGTAGATCGATGCTTATGATGTCAATCACAGGATTGTTAACTCAATCATTAACAACAGACCAACGTCACATAGCTGGAATATTTCTGAGTGAGCCGTTAAACAATAAACAAACAAACGAACAAAAGTAAATTATATCCGACCAGTGGCCAACGGTGTGAGCCAGAATATCCGACCAGTGGCCAACGGTGTGAGCCAGAATATCCGACCAGTGGCCAACGGTGTGAGCCAGAATATCCGACCAGTGGCCAACGGTGTGAGCCAGAATATCCGACCAGTGGCCAACGGTGTGAGCCAGAATATCCGACCAGTGGCCAACGGTGTGAGCCAGATGGTCACCGTCCAACAAATGCGATATCTGTTGCAAACAGCAGGATGCCCTTGTGAGCTACTTCACGGTACATTACAGACAGCCAACCGGCGTGAACACGTCTGTGCAACATCTGATGACTGTTTACTGCTTACTACTAACTTCGAAGTACAGTAAACTACGATCATATTTAAGTCAAAGGGTCCTGTCATTTTAGTAGGTTTTCACAGTAGTTAGTTGCCCGCATTTCGACTAAAATAAACATCACGAGTCCGAGGCTAAATAATAGTTCGTAATAAGCGTCTTTCGTATAAGCGTAGTTTACTGTACCTGTACCCATGGTCTTAAGATACATAGGGTTGTTCTTTGTTCCACAAAATGCAGACATAAAAGTTGGACTTGACCGAAAAATAACAAACATTTTTAAAACGTTACTAGACAAACATTCCCTGAAATACAATTAATACGTGTTAAGCCCAAACGGCGACTACGGTATCATAATTATAGCATTATGGAATAACCATTTCTTGTTTATTTTATTTATGGTCACCATCAAACATCGCTGAATATATTCTTTTGCCTGGTAGTTTATGTCTACAAAATGTAAAAAAGGACTTTGTTAAATCTTCAATGTTACACCATCATCTATGTGGATGAAGCACCCACAAGTACCTTATAGTGGTGCTTGAGAATATTTCGCTCATATGACGACGTGCGTATGTGTATGTGCGGCTGCTTGTACTAGCCCAGACTGAAGCTGGTTTTATAGTGCTAGCCCACTGTGATACCATGCCGCAGTGAAGCATGAATACCCCACTCAGACACATTATACTGACTCCGAGCCGACCAGTCCTTGATGTACCCATTAATGCCGAGCGCCAGGCAGGGACCAACAAGTACCATATTTTAACGTCTTTTGGTATGACGCGGTCGGGGATCGAACCCGCGACCTTCCGCACTCCGGGCGGACAGTACCTAGGAGGCGGTATAGTATTCTTGGGAGTTAAATTATTTCAATGTGGTAATTAGGGGTTGAATACAAGCTTGGTAGTAGTTACTATACTTCTAATGATTGGTGATTGTGTCTATAAATAGATCCTATGGATATTTTAGATTTGTTTCTAACATCCATGGAGATACGATTCTGCTCTTGCAAACATAATTTCACACACATATTTCACAAATAACTGACAACTCTGTGGGTGAATGACTGATTTAACACAGCTTTGAACAGTGTTTCAACTATTTGACTTAAACAAGTATAAGAACACCCGCAATTGAAAGGCTGCGTTGGAATACCCACTATCTGTGGCACATACTGACTGGGTGTTCTTGAACAGCATTATCTTTCTTGAGTGTGTGTCAGCTTGCTGTTGGGTGAAAGCCTGAATTCATGCTGGTCTTAAACCTTTACATTTTAGGTGTTTGGGACAGGTAAGGGGGAACATCTGCATGAAAGAATGTACCATGTACCTTTGATGCACAAATACCAACCAAACATTAGACATGTGAGTGAGTGAGCAGTGTTTTAGGCTGCAGTCAGGACTCGTGTCGTTGTATGGTGTGACATCGTAAGGTTAATAAGGTCCTAGGATAGTTTACTATGGCGTTCATCTCCTCTGGTCACCACGGTTTGCACTGCAACTGGGGTGAAATATTTTCCTGTCACGTCTATTAAACTGCTACAATCGCAAATCTACATCTACAACAAGGAGAGTTCTATGGATATACAACTGCTTTAATATAATATGAGCGACAGGTGTAGCTTCTAACACCCTTATCAAGCTGTTAGAAGCTACACTGAAACATTGCTGATATTATATTAAAGTTGTATATCCATAGAACTCCCCTTGTTGTTCATGACACCAACTTATAAATGCCAAAGGAGAAATCTACATCTGTCAAGTACACTTTGGGTTTGACATATGAAGTACAGAATCCCAGTTTTAAACAAATAAAAATCAGATGAACAAGTGATTAATTTTTTGTGATAAAGATTTCTCAAAGACTGTTGTTTAAATGCCAAGTACTCCATAAATAGTGAATGGCACCATTTGCATATCTGAAAAGACAGACCCAAAATACAATGAAATAATTCTTTATTTCTGGATATTAACAATATAAATATAAATAATCATATTGCGACTGTTACAAAATCAACACAAAATAATTGGCAAACACATGCATCACATATCTATTTAATATAGAACATGGAACTGAAACTACACAGGAAACAGGGTACACACAGTCATTACCACCAAGAACAGCTACAGCTCCTGGAGTTCTCTCCAAGATGATAGGACAACAGGACATTGTCTTCAGGCAATAAGAAAGCACTGACAAGTAGCAAATATTGTGTGCCTATTAATAAAATATTCTTTCATCTCACCATTAGGTGGGAAGATTGAACCATCTCATCAAAATAAGACCTTTTAGTCTGATTTATACCTGGTGAGAGGTTTCAAATACTGAATGAAAAGGTCTCATTTTAATGTAAAGCGAGGATGAAACATAAGTACCTGCTCTATCTCGGTTGTGATTATGTACATTAACATTGTGAAATTGTCATTTGGTATAAAAATCAGTATCATATCTACATATTGAAACTGGGACTTTTTACAAAATCAGTTCTATTGAACTTCCTCAACTCTTGTTGTTGCTGATTGAAAATATGTTTTGAAGGAAGCATTTTAGATTAGAGAAATAAGATTACTGTGACATTCCACATTCAGGAAAACTGTACAATCACTTTATACAGGGAAAAACTATAATGTCAATACATGACCTGATCATATTCAGGGCATATTCTAATTGTGAGTGGGAATATTCCTCAGCTGTTTAATGCAGCATTATTCCAAATATTTTAAGCTGGCCTTTAACTAATCACGTAAAACTATGACCACAGTGGATAATATTGTGAGCAACTAAACGTTGCCCCTAGCAACCAGCATACGTTGCTGGGGACCGATTTTAACCTCTCATCCTCATAGTTTTAGTAGTTTAATTTTGTGGTGAAGTTTACAGAAGTGAAAAAGCTCACTGACATTAATATAATCTCATGGACATAAATGTTTATATATACCTACATACATCCCTATCAGAATGTTACACAGAAAATCATCCTAAATACAAGTGATGACATCATTGATACTTCAGAGTTTAGTCCACAGTTTAATCATACTCTGAAATTTATGAAACAATGAATTCGAAAAGATATGCAAGAACAATTCCATGCTCAGAGTAGTTCCCACATCAACTCTAGTTTGGTTACATTTCTATCTTAAGTACAATAAAAGATAATTGTCTGCGGACAGCATGGTGATAGTATTTGTATTCATCTTGACAAGAAACATGACAATAAAACAGATATAACACATCATCTATGCTATGTACAGAACAATGAACAGAGACCTATGTACATATATTTGTCTATATACATGTCATCGTGACCTACATAAAAAAACTATGCCAAATATGTTTGTCCTAAGCATGCACATTCCAAGTATGAAGAATTTGTGAAATGAGATGAAAACATACCTTAAATTAGCATTTAAATCTCATCACAGTGAAAGCTGAGACCATTTTGAAAAATGTATCTTGAGACTTCCATCCTGCACTATAAAATTTTGTTATGGTATGAAATTATATATTCAATATCAATGATATTCATATTTTGGTACGTTTCATATATCCCATTATCCAGATAAATATCTTATATATGATTCTTACTTGGAGAATAAGTCTCGACATGACAAATGTTTGTGGTTATTACAAAGGACATTTTGAGGTTTGGGTTGGGTTTTTATAAAAACTCTTACCAGAGAAGTATTGTTAACTAACTATTTACACACATTTCTTGTGATATATTCATTATCAAGGTGTGGTTACTGTAATCTGTGATAAGTAAGTCCCACAAAGCAGGAACAGGAACTACTCAAAAGTTCCAGAAATGACCTCCCAGCGAGCTGTATGGACCACACCCTTCAAGTGTAGGGACAACACCTAAATATTGACAGTGATTTGAAATTTGAAAGTTTGAAACTGTTCCCACAAAAATCTTATTTTCGGGGACAAGAGAAGATTCTCCATTTCTGACATGGCTGGGGAAGTTCCACATGCCCCTATTTTAAAAATGATTAGCACTTAGGATTAAAAATTCATAATAATCCTTTTCTTGAGGACTTTATTACTTAAACAGAAAGTAGATGTAACGTTGATCAGAGATAGCTTATATAGCTTCTTTCTCCTGGAATCCTTGAACTATTGAAACAGATCAGCGAGGTTGTAATAGATACATAGGTATAGCTGTAACCTTAGGATGTTCAGGCCAGTGTATATTTCCTCATCAGTTGACACAGCCAGATATATACCAGCAATCCAGACAAGCTGACATATGCCTCCGTGATCAATACTCTCTGCCCTGGACTTACAAAGAAGCAATAACAGCTGGTCAGTTGTAGGGCCTCTAAGTCAGCACATTGTGGTCAAAACATCCCAAAGTTTAGCTACATCATCATAATTTGGGTATGCAAAGTATCGGTAATGATTCTGAGATCAAGCAAGCTTCACAGGACTGTTATGTTATAATTGGAATACCATGGCAAAGCAAAGTGTTGGCCATTTTGAAATGTGTACTTGAAACATATTTGATGGAGGATATCTTTAATATAGAATTAAGCAAAAATAATACCAATGAGTTTTCAATTACCATGACAAATTACTTCATAGAAAATGTACATTTTACACAATATTTCAGTCAGGGCTTTTTCCATACATCTGACTTCTCTTTGGGCAAATTTATACCAGATGTTGTTTATTGATAGACAGGCTCTTGATCACATAAAACTGACCAATTGTTGTCAAATAATTTCAACAAGTGGGATTTGAATTCAGTGAAAAATACCTTAGGAGATTCTTGCCAAAATCATGAATTAATTCATAATGAATCAACACTAGTGTATTAATTTGTTATAGGCCACAATACAGCCAGTAAATATTGTTATTTTGGTTCTAGTAGCTCATATTTTCTGTATGGTACTTTTAGTTTGGAAATCACTCTGCATTTGAGACACACATCGTAGCTGTGATGGGTCATAAAATAAGAAAACAGTGAAACTATTTTCTATTATTTACTATATATCAGCATAATGTTTACACGAGTTCTCTTAATATTGCATAAATCTATGAGTTAAAATTTAATGACTTTCCAGTTTTGTCTTAATATTTAAATAGATCTTGATGCTTGATTTTATACAATATTTTTAAAGATGCTGACAAAATGAAGTTTTAAAAAATGAAATTTATGAAACTACACACTTTTGAATACACTTATAGGATCAGATACAATATACATGACTTGTAAAGCTTTACAGTAGTAACTGTCTAATATCACCATGTACAGGCGTATGATGTGAAAAGGATAATTGTCCACAGGTGGGTTTAAGTATGGAGGGCGAGTCGCGTTTCCACACTTGGTGGAAGTCACAGCTGCGTGTTACACGTGACTACTGTAAACTATCACAGTATTGATCTCTGAGTCTTGTGGAGGCAATCGAATTACATCGACTTGCACCAGATGTAGATGGATTACAATGGTGAAGGAAAAACACCAAGCTCCTCTCAGCGATAGCGTGGTCTCAGAGCTCTCAATAATACCGAGAGTAATGAAGGTGTCGTCTGCTGGGTGGTAGATACGGTGGAAGGGAGATAACTCCTGCTGATCTTTATCCTGAATCACTACAAACAGACGGCATTGGATATGCACGGAAGGGAGATAACGCCTGTTGCATTATTTCCTTTGGATCAATATGTGGACATCTCCGTCAGGTAGAAATTTGAGATTGTTCCAGGCTTCGTAATGCCGCATGTTTGTGAAATCAGTGTCATTGACCTTTAAGATTTCATCTTTGACTCGCAGCTGACCACATTTTTCTGCAGGCCCTCCTGAAAAATGTCAAATTTTGGGTTAGCCCAAACTGATTTTTTGTTTTGTTTTTATCAGGTTTTTATACATGTCAAAGTCTACACACTTAACACATTTTGCTAAGTCTGCAATTTAGCAAACTCTGTATATCAGCTGGTAAATCACCCATTTGTCTGTACAGCTTCCATAAAAAAACACTTCTGTCATTTCTGTAATCCAACAATTTTTCAAAACAATTTTATTACAACATTATGTAACCCCAAAAATATTTTTTTAGTTGATAATGTCACTGCTGCTGTACATGTTTACAATTATTTCCTTTGAAATTGCTTTATCTTCAGGGGCATTGCCATGTCCGAGCTGTACATTATGGCAATTATCTCCCCTTGACCACGCATGTACCTCTCATCATACCACAACTATTCTCATCTGCAGCATGCAATCTAAGTTACAGACAAGTTAAATAATATATATTGTGCTCATTTTATTGACAGTTTGTCCATGAAGATCGGGGTTAGAACTGATCTTTACTAACCTATGCTTTTTGTAATCTTTTTTTCACTTTTTTTAAATTTTATAGTGGCACCAGGTAGGCACCTGAGGTCTTCAAGAGTACCATATCATGTAGTGACAATGCCTTATGATGAAACATTGAAAGATTTCTATATCAAATCATTACTAATGTTATTTATTTGCAGATTTGGTCAGTGAGGACCTATTATGCCAATTCAATGCAATTCATTTTAGCCCTACGTACACTGAAAAACATGAAAATATCATACTCGATTTGGATGAAAATGATGAAATGCATTCCAGTCATGAAATTGACTTTATTGATTTGGATAGGGTTTGGGGTCCGGGTGTTAGATGGATGGATGGGGTAGGTCGGTTAAAACAGACTTTTTTGGGGAGGCAGGGCAACAGCAAGTACTATTTTTAACACATTTTGGCATGATACAGCCTGGGGCTTTCCAGAGTGTCGTGTCTTACCTTTGAATATCCTTCTAATGAGTATGGGCATGTCGCCCTTAGGTGAGCCTAACCCTCCTTCCAGACAGAAGCCAACACCTGTGACCCCCTTCTTCATCACCACCTCAAATATCCCTGGGCCTTCTTGTACGGGGGCTTCTGTTCCTGGGGAAAACATGCTCATTGTATTAAAACTAAAGAAGTGCAGCAGAGAAGATTGGGCCACCCTTGCCCACAATATGGACACTGAAATTGCACTGGTGTGTTTTAACCTTATATACCACGTGGGTTGATTATCGAGTCAATATATGAGGTGATTAATTTTTATGAACGACCTCTCAAGGGGTTGGTTATCAGATAACCAACCTTTCCGAGAGGTCGGTTACTATATAACCACGCCTCACCTTGTTCCCGGTATCGCACCTCGAGAAGAACTTTTCCCTTTGCAGATCGGGTTTGACAACCCTATGCCTCCACCTCAATGTTTTTGTTGGAAACATCATCAATAACTAAATACAGTGCCATTCCCAAAAGATTTTTTTACAACATTTGTGTATTTTTTAAATTTTTTGTTGTTGTAACATCTGTACATTGCACTTAATAATAATTCTATTAAATAAGAGTGTTTTTGACCTTGTGGTATATGCGAAATAACAACCTTCAGCTCGTGATTCGCTTCGATAACCACCTCTCGGTTCCCTCGAGGTGGTTATCACAGCGAACCACTCGCTTGGCGGTTATTATTTCACCCATAACCTTAGAAGTAACCCAATAATCATAACTGAATGAAATTTGTCTGAAAACATATCGGTAGCCTACTGGTTAAAATGTTCACTGACATGTTTAAAGTCCTAGTTTAATCCCCCACCTTGTGTACACCTCAAGCTGTAATACTAGTGGGGCGGTGGGGTGGCCTAATGGTTAAAGCGTTGGCTCGTCACGCCGAAGACCCGGGTTCGAATCCCCACATGGGCACAATGTGTGAAGCCAATTTCTGGTGTCCCCCGCCGTGATGTTACTGGAATATTGCTAAAAGCGGCGTAAAACCAAACTCAGTCAGTGTAATACTAGTGAAAGTAGAATACACTCACTCACTCACTCACATGAATGTGGGCTTATCTCACCATTTCCGTTGACACTGGTGTCTGCTGTAGTCTTTCCATTGCTGCTGGTGTTGGTGCCCTCTCGAGCCAGAACCAGCGTCACATGCTGACTGGGCTGACTCAGCAGCTTCATCACCTCCTCCGCTGACAGGTCATCAACCAAGCTACCATTGACCGACAACAGGTTGTCCTTGAGCTGCAGACGCTGGTCCTTCTCAGCAAGGCCCCCAGACTTTAATCCGCACACCTAAACACCAAAATTAAGATTGTTCACAATTATTTTCTGGATTATTTTTTGGTTTTCATTAAAATTATGTATGTATGTATTTTTGTGTATCAAAGCAAAGTTTAATCATCAAAATAGTAACATTTGGTGCCTCCAATTGTTGTCACCACAAGCAAAGTTTCCATGTCTAAACATCACACAGCTTCCACCTTTTTCAGTTTCTATCCAGACTTAAAACTGACCAAATGACATTTTCAGGAATTATACATAAGTTTCCATATGCAGTTTAGACTTGTCGTTGTCATTGTCATTAGAGAAAGTACAATATTGATAGTAGAGGTACCAAATTAGTCAATCTGTTTTCTATTTTAATTGCAGCCTATTGATTGTTTGCAGAAATATCAAACTTATTGTGTATGTACAGTCACCAAATTAAGGGTACATGCTTGTAAGCAAGCACTAAATTGTATCTAACATATATATGAGTATTTTCTGGCAAAGTGTCTTGTATTCATTTATTGTCATGGAGGTAAAATTATATTCAAAACATAAAACATGGATAACTCGGTATACATTTGATGGCCTCATGAACATCACATTAATGAGACCTTATTGTCATATGTACAGGGATTTACCTTGAGTCCTGTATCTGAGGGTCCCTGGGAATCATGCTCTTAATTTTCAGGGATCCCAGCGCCTAGATTTTCGAAGCTCTCTTAGCGCTAAGATAGTCGTACGTACCATATATTAACTTACAACTATCTTAGCGCTAAGAGAGCTTCGAAAATCTAGTTCCTGGACTACAAAATGGGGGCTCCAGACACTTAAATATTATTATTAATACTGTTATTGTATTGTGTATCATGATCATCACATTGTTACAGTAATTAAATTGCAAATGATACCATAACCCAGCTAGTAGTAAACTCAGTGATAACTTATTGTTAGTTGATTGGAATGTTTACAAAAAAGTATTTGGACTTTTACTGTGTCCCTGTGGATGCGCTAATAAATTTTGTTGCGTCCAGTGTTAATTTTTATGGGTATAGGATGCAGGAATTCGCGTTCTGTAAATCCCTGTATGTAACTAATGCTAGTTTGTAAAATAAATAATTACTCACCACTTTTGATCTGAGAATACCATCTCTGAGTTCAAACCCAAGGTCCTGCTCTTGATTGTCCCTTGTCAAAACCACAACTACAATTTCATCCTCCAAAGAAATCCCTGTCTTATCCATTCTCTGATTAGCTAAGTCTATCATACGGGAGAGTTCATCCCTTGAGATGAGGCTTGTATCAGAGACTTTCGTCAGATCTGAAATGGACATATCCACTGCATCCCCACCAGTCATAACCATCTTCCATCTCCGTTTGTTTCCACTGGTTGAGGACGTCCTTGACTTGGTCGATACATTTAAAGATTTGTTCAGAACACTTGAAGATGACAGTCTTTCTGTTTGCGGTTCATTTCTAGAAGTATTTACCTTTGTTGAATTAAACTGGATACTTGAAACATCTGGTTCAAAAACAGAATGTTGACTGTTAGCAATATCTTTAGTTGGAGTAGATGAAAATACTTTTTTACTGGATGAAGAGCGAGATGATTTAGAATCTTTGAGAGCGTCGCTTGGAGATGACTCTCGGGAGCTTGATACCTGGGAGATAGAAGCATTGCTGGAATCAGACAAGATTTCGGTGGATGCTGAAACTTGTGACTCGTGTGACACAGGTGCAGGAATTTCTTTATCACGAGAGTCTGTGTTAGTGACCGACACTTGGGTCTTGGTTGGCACAACTGAAGGTGTGTTATCATGCAGTGAATCAACAGAACTAAAGGAATCTTGTTCATGCGAAGAAATATTTGAACTATATTGCACAGTGACAGTTTTAGTAGAACTTGTTTGAAGAGATCCTGGACCAGTTTCAGTCATGGATTCAATGTCATTTCTACTCACAGATGAAGCTACTACAGGCTCCACCGATGTTGATACCAGCTTTACTGTATTATGTAGAGAACTCTGCACCTCTGTAGTTGTTGAATCAGATATATTTGAAGAACCTGGCAATTCCACAGCACCGTTCTCTATTGCACTAGGAGATGTTGGAGAGGTCATCTGCAAGCTGACACCAGAATCGGTATCTGAAGATGGGGTCTCAATCAGGGTAGCAGTATTTTCAATCTTGGGCATTTTTTGAGAATCAAAATTTATCAACAAATCAAATTTAGACTCTTGAGCTGCAACCTTTTCAATCTCTTCAACCCATTCATTGTTTTCCTCTGTTTTCTCAACTGTGGTTCTAGACTTAGGTTTGGGTTGATATTTGATGTCTGTAGATGCCACAGCTGTCACTTCCACTGACTGTACATCTGTATCACCACCCAGAAGAGTCTGTCCTGGTGGTGGGGGCCCTGGAGGAAGAGGTGGGGCATCATCTGTATCATTAAGCTTGCTCTTCAGTTCAGGCTGGACTGAAACATTGACTTCAGGTTCTGGGATGTACACAGGAACTGATTCTACTACCTCAGTAACCGTTCTGGACATTACACTATGTGTATCAGTTTCTACCAAATCATCAGCAGGCTCTTCTGTTGGGATTGGAGGAGGAGGTCCAGAAGGTAGTGGAGGAGGTGCTGAGCCTGGCAAGGGTGGGGGAGAGGGGCAGGGAGATGACACAACAGTTGCTTGTTCAACATGTTCCAGCTGGTTTTTAGCAGACTCTAATGTAGCAGCCACTATTTCAGATGCATTGGTTTCAAGCTCATCCTCATCCGCTATATCTACTGAATTTGGTGGTGCTGAAACAGTTGCTGAAGCAGTTGTTGTCACTTCCTCTTCAATATTTACCTTGATTTCATTTTTAGACACAGGCTGTTGTTTTTGTGTATCTTGATCATGTTTAGATCTTTCATTTCTTAATGTTTTTATTGGTACATCTGCCTGATTGTCAGTCACCCTTTCTGCACTAGCTGCCTGAACAGGAGCTATTTGAATTTCTGCATTTTCAGGCACGGTATCTGAAGGTTCGTTAACCTTGACCTTTGCTTCTACTTTCAGCTGCTCTTTTGCTGCTTCGAGGGAAGCTGCCACAATCTTTGCAGCAAAACCACTACTTCCATCTACTAACTTCTCCACATGCTGCTCTGGAGTCAAAACGTTTTGCTGTTGTTCAGAGGTCAACACTTCCTCCTGGTGTGCAGGACTAGGCACTTCTTCCTGTATTGCAGTTGTCACTGTTTCTTGCTTAGATGGAACTGGTTCCTTTTCTTCATAGTCTATTTTCTTTGATGGGACAGTAATTTGTTCTTTAACCTCTTCAGTCTTGAAATTAACATTGTCAATTTCAGTTTCATTCTCAGCACTATCTGTACCTACTGTTTCATCAGTGTTTGAATCTTTCACTGTGGCACCATCAATAATCAAACTTCCTGAATTTAGGTCAACTTTTAATGTAACATCTTTGTGCAGCGGTGTATCTGGCATTGAACTCTGAGCATAAAACTCAGTGTTGTCAGTTGTGGACACATCCTCAGTAACACCCCTGATGGATCTGTGTCCCTGTCTTTGCTGTGCTGTGTCTTGTGCTGAATCTGGTACAATTTGTGAAACATCAACATGCTCGTGATCTGTAACATAGGATGATTTAACAACTGAATGAGAACTTGGTGCTTCAAGTGAAGATGCAGAACTGTCTTTGACATAAGTGTCAATTCCAGATTGCTCAGTTATGTGCACAAATTTGGCTGTAACAAGTGCAGTGGTGTCTTCTTTATTGCTGTGTGTGTCTTTGGTGCTAACAAATTTCTTACCTGACAATTTAGATGTTGACATTATCTTTTTTCCATCTCCAGCATGCAGTTTATAGGCAGAAGAACCAAACTTAAGTCCAACTGGAGACGGTGGTTCCCCTGTTGATATTCTTCTAGGAGATAGAGCATTATTCATTTTGACTTGGCCAATTTTATATGTTCCATCTGGACTTGATGAGTGAGCAACTTCACCACTATCAGTGTTATGACCAGTAATGTTTTTCAGTCGCTCAAGTCCTGTTGGCTTGAAGATGGAGGATGAGGTTTTGGGAACAGCATGGTGATAATGACCCTGCTCAGGCTTTGTCTTTGGCTCTGAGAGTCCTGTCCGCTTTTTAGGAGCTAGTGCTGAATTTATTTTCACCTTACCATCGGGCGATTTTGGAGATGTTGGTGATGTAGGAGACACAGGTGAGGAATTCTCCTCCTTGTTGTCGGATTGAACTTGAGACTTGATAGATATACGAGATACAATAAACACACCATCTTCTTCAGGCCCATTCTTCTTTGGAGATGACACAAGATCAGTTCTACTTTTTGGTTTGGGAGGGTCAACAGTTTTGAGTGCAGGAACCTCGTGTCCTTGACCTGAGCTAGAGATCTTTCTGACTGATGTAACAGAACTGCTTGATGATCTCCTTGAGACGTCAGTTTCATCGACTTTTTGGAAAGCCTCAAAGGCAGCCATTTTTTCCTTGACAGAACGTTTTTCTGGAGCATGCTCATCTTTTCTTCTGGGCACATAGGTTTCTTCAGGTCTTCCATCAGATTTGACAGATGCTGTGGATTTTTCAGAACTAGCAGATGATCGTCTCCTTCTTCTCTGACCAAACTCAACTTCATTTTCTATGTGAAAGTCATCTGATATGACGGATGATACATCTGAGCTAGCAGAAGATGTACGTCGTGGCTTAGGTGGCACAGGTGGAGGGGTCTTCTCATGAGGCTTTGCCTTAATATCAGGAACAACACCTTCATCAATTTCATCCATTACCATTGATTTCGTTGATATTCTCGGTGGAGAAGATTCTTTTTCTACCAAAATATTAGAAACAAATTTGGGTTTGGTGTCAACATTCACAGTTTCGTTCACTTCTGTCTGGCTTTTGACAACAGTCTCCTCAAACTTTGGTGCTGGAGGAGCAGCTGCATCAGTCAAAGATGCTCTTGCCTTTGGTTTAGGTGGGACCTTGGGAGGGCTCTTCAATACAGGACTGCTTATAGACTCAATTCGCTCACCAACAGCTGGCTTTTCCTCTTCACTGACAACAACCTTCTGCTCCATTTGCGTAGCTTGCCTTGGTACAGGCCTTGGTACTTCAAAGGTTCAAGTTTTTGTTGTTTTCTTTCAGCAGCAACAGGAGGATTAGTTTCCATCTCAACCTCAGTCTCCGTAACTGTAGTTGTTATTTCAACCTTCCTATTATCTGCTGATGGCACTGTCTCAACAGTTTCTTGGATGTGTGACTGTGACTTCACACCAGAGTCAACAGACACCTCAGTTACTGTCGTTGAGGTTTCTGTTGTACTTTTCGCAAGTTTGGTTGAAGATGTTTCTCTGAGGGGTATGTCACTCTTGTCGGTAACAATTTCTGTGGACTTCACAACATTTATGGTAGACACATGCTTATCATCAGGTTTCTTTTCTCCCTGTTTCACTTCCACCACTTTCTTTGTCACATCTATTGTAGATACATGGGCAGGCTGTTCAGAAGTGTCCACTGCAGCTGGCTGCTTGTCCTGCCGTGACAAGGAAGACTTTCTTTTTGACTCGAAAAATCCAGAGTCTCTTGTTAAAGGGGAAGTAACTGTAGCTGACTTGCTTTCATCAGTGTTGAAGGGCTTTGCACCTAACCTGACACCAAAAGGGGATGTGCGTCCAGCGGGTTTATCAGCAGATGTAAGGAGGGTATCTGATTTTCCAGTGGCTGAAAACAAGTAGAAGTATCACATTTTAATATAATGATTCATAATTAAACAGTAGATACCTATGATATATTTATTGATCACTAAACAATATTTAGCCTTGGCTTTGATCTAAATGATGTTTTGTTACCCCAGAGGTTATAGTAAATATGAAAGGTAAATTTGGACGTGATGAAATCATAAATAACAGCATATCAGATGGAAAGATACAGTCTGTAGGCCACTGGCAGCTATAATTATTCTAGTTCCATGCTTAGTCTGTTCCATTATGTGTAATATTTTCAGATAGAACCTCTTTTACATGACTAATATATTTACAGATTATTGATGATTCTTTCAATCAACATATTCAGTTATTTAAGATATTCAGAATAAATGAAAGGTATTTAGACTTGGTTGAGTTACTTAAATTGATATTTTGAGCGCCATATAATATTCATCAATAGTGGGTAAGTGGGTAAAAGACCTAGGTGAAACACTTACAATGTTGGCAGTCTTCTTCAGATGGTTGTACAGCTGATACAACAATCTTAGCTAAACCTCTAGGAAGAAGTCGCAGAATTTGTTGTATTCTGGCATCAGACTGCCCTGTCAGTGTGGTGTTGTTGATGGACAGAACATAGTCTCCAACTCTGAAACAACAGCAATTGGAACTCAGTAAGATGCTTGTGTGATACATAAAGGTGATACATTTGTAACATAGAATATAATTTCACAGATTACTCCTTCATTTGAATGATACAGGCCACTCAAAACCTATAAATTCGGTAAACATCTTAATGCAAATGCTAATTATGTATCCATGATCATGTCTGCAAAATGTCTTCTCAAAAGCAAATAATTTCAAAAGTTTACAATGTGCATGTTTAACATGCTACATTATTACCCTTGTCATTGAAGTGTGCAGGGGAATTTCATTATCAGCCCCCTTGGGAATATACAAAACATGCTGAGTGAGTATGGTTTTTCACCACTTTTAGCAATATTCCAGCAACATCACGACAGGGGATACCAGAAATAGGCTTCACACATTGTACCCATGTGGGGAATGAAACCCATGCCTTCGGCGTGACGAGCAAACACTTTTAACCCTACCACCTCCAACCCACGCTGCTTCACATTCGTTTGTTATAATGTTCTCCGCAAAGGTAACAAACTCAGTTGCTAAAATGACAAATAACTTACTTGATCTGTCCATTCTTGTCCACAGGACTGTTTCTTTGAATCTCTGATACTCTGGCAAATCTGTCTGTGTCTGCCTGTATCTTGATTCCCAGTCCAACAATGCCCTTCAGGACATCAACCTGGAACAGTCCATCTTCCCTCCTCATCTTCTGGTACTCCTGCTTAGAAGACTTGGTTGTTGAAAACTGCAGACCTTGAGTTTTAATGGTTGTACTCAATGCTCCCATCTTAGGTAACCCTCTTGACACTGTGAGTGGTGGGAGAACTGACCCGGTGCTGAATCTGTTGGTAGACTTAAGACTCAGTCTTGGGCTAGGTGGTGTTGGAGTTGACCGTGGTTCCTGAGATAAGACATTTTTTTCCTCTGGATTGCTTGGCTTCTGAATTGAGACCTGCGTTTCTCTTGGAGAACTTGGCTTTGGTGCAGGTGTTGGAGGAACTCTTGGAGGATCTTCCTGCACCTCTAAAGGAGTTTCTTTTGGAGGTGATCTTGTTACTCTGGCTGCTGGTTTAGGTGGTGCAAATGATGATGAAACATGAGAAGATGCTATAATATCTGGCTCCATACCACCTTTCTGTGGTAAGGCACTTTCAACATTATTATTTTCTGTCTTTATGACCTTTTCTATCACAGGGGTACTCAGGTCTTTAGTGGTTACAATGTCCTCATTTTCTGGCTCGTCAAGACTCTCAATTACATTTGAGACCAGCTTCCTGAAAGGATTTGCTTTGGGCTTTTCATCACTCTTCAACCAGTTTCTGAACACATTCATAATAGTCTGAGCATCCTCTCTCGACACCTTAGATGGTACAATCTCCTGCTCATCTACACTAGAGCTCTCAGATTTCTTTTTTGTGTAGTTCTGACCATATGATGTTGTCAAACCTGATAATATTTCGGCAAGATTTTTCCTTGCTTCCTCATCAATCTCTCTGGGCTTATGTACAGGGGAGCTACTTGCTGACCCTTCTTCAAATGTTCGGACTCCCTGCTTATCCTTCCTCACAAGAATTGGTGTAATAACTTCCTCCTCTCCAGAATCATTGGTACCTCCACTTTGGACTGGAGGCATCACATGTATTGGAATGGTGCTCCCAACTCTGATCTTGGTTACCTTAGGTTTGGCTTCAATAATGTTCGATACCATTTTCTTGAATGGAGAAACAGGAGCTTTTTGCCCTCCAGATAGCCATTGTTCAAACACACCAAGCACCTTTTGTGCATCTTCACGTGCAATTTTTGTGGGCACAATGTCCTCTTCTGTAACTGAGGTAGAATTTGTTTCTGATTTCTTCTTGATATGTCCTGATGATTTGGTCAACTCAACAAGAATTGCTGCAAGGTCTCTTTTAGCTTCCGGATCAACCTGTCTTTGACCAGCTTTGGCAGTAGATTCTGCAGCACCTTCTTCAAATAACCGCACACCTCCCATCTCCCGCTTCATTTTCATTGGCTGTATAACATCCTCACCATACGAGTCCTTTACTGATGCTGATTGCACTGGTGGAACAAAATGAATTGGTGATGCATTTTTCATTTTCTGACCCTGGTCAATGCGAATCATGGTTGGTTTTTGAGAAGTGTTTCCATTTACTTCAATGACAGCAGACTTCAGTTTTGGCTGATCATCTAAACTGATTAAAGCTGAAACAGGACTGTCAGGTGTTTTAACATCTTCAGCCTTTGCCACATCTACCTTTGTAACAATATGTTGGTTCACAGATTTAGTTGTCCTATGAACAACATCTGCAGTTGTTTCCTTCTCTGTATTTACATCTTCATCAGTTGAGACAGGAATCTGGGTGACATTTCCTATGGAAATAAACTCATCAATTGAAGTATTTTCCACAGATGTAACATTTTCCTCCCTGAAACCTCCCAGTAGATCTCCCACTTCCACAGAGTTCTCCAATCTGCCCTCATGCTGATTTGAATGACTGTTTGAAATATCTGCATGAATATCTGGCACTAACAAGACACCTGAGAGATCTGTTGTCTTTTCTGACACTTCACCATCAACTTCAAGAGATATAGCTGAAGCATCAGTTCCACCAACATCTAGGAGCAAATCAAGAGGTTGGCTATTATATTGCACTGTTTCCTGTTGGTTTGTTTCTGGGGCTGAGTCTTCATCATAAAGTCCTAGAAGGTCATCAATGTTTGTCACAGGCACAGTTTGATCTGGCTCCTGGGGAGGCTCAGACACAATATCAGGTGGCATGTCTGCAAACTCCATTGGTGGGGGAATACCTTCAATTATAGGTGCTAGAGGCCTGCTAGTGGGTGGATACTCTGCATCATTCTCCATCTCCCAATCCCTTGGAGTTGATTCAAGGTCAACAGCTGGGGTATCAACAACATACGTATTATCCAACTGCCCAGACAAGTCTGTTTTTATTTCGAAACCACCCACATCAATTAACTGTTCATTATCCATATCAAGCAAATCTTTCGTTTCTTTTACTGGACTGGACATACTGGAATCCGTCACAGATTCTGAATCATCTGAAAACTGTTGAGGTGGAAAAGGTTGACTGAAAGCTAACTTCACATTTTGTTGAGCAAAAACTTCGTTAATGCTTGGCTGATCCTCTTGTGACTCACTCAATGTATCCCTCTGTGATTGCACTGCACCTAAATTGCTCGATATGCGCTCCTGGCACGTCAGTCTGTCACTTTCCTTCAAATCAAGCGAACTTGAAATTGAAGCTGTTTGATTATGTTTTGACAAGTCAGAGACTATTTCTAAGGATGTATCACTTTCCTCCTGTCGAAGAATGCGAAATGTCACATTATCCCCAGCTTTCTTCAATGCACTGAGACACTGTGCCTGTGTGAGACCTTTGAGAAGCTGTCCGTTACACTGCAGTAGCCTGTCCCCAACCTGGAGTCTGCCCGATCTGGCACACGCACCACTTGGCAGAAGTCTCTTTACCTGGAAACAAGTCAGCTGTTTTAGAGATATTGTGTCACATAGCATTCATGGGATTTAATTAGTTCCAAAGAATATATGTCTACAATACTTACACATAAGTCCACATGGACCTAGAACAATACTTAATTTCATGACCATAAGGACTTGAATTGGGTCCATTTATTTGATATTTTCTTTAGGGTCGGGGAGACAGACCATATAATTCATTTCTGTTGTACAATGCTGCATGCAGCAGTATTCCAGGAATTTATTGGCGGTCTGTAATTAATCAAGTCTGGACCAGATGATCCAGTGATTGATATCTATCTCCACAGTTGAGATACAATGAAATGCATCAGCCAAGACAGTGAGCCCTACTAAAGAACTAA